ACAGGACTATCTCATTAGATGCAGAAAAAGCTTTTGATAAAATCCAGCACCCTTTCTTGATAAAAACCTTCAAACTCCTAGGTATAGAAGGAACATACCTCAAAACAGTAAGTGCCATCTACAATAAACCCACAGCTAGCATACTGCTAAATGAACAGAAACTGGAAACATTTTCACTGAAAACTAGAACAAGGCAAGGCTGCCCACTCTCACCCCTCTTGTTCAATATTGTGCTGAAAGTCCTAGGTCGGGCAATTAGACAAGAGAAGGAAATCAGGGGTATCCAAATAGGAAAAGAAGAAGACAAGTTATCCCTCTTTGGTGATAATATGATCCTATACCTTGAAAATTCAAGAGAATCTGTCAAAAACCTGCTTGCACTGATAAAGGACTTTGGCAAAGTCTCAGGGTACAAAATCAACGTGTACAAGACAGTTGCATTCCTATACACCAACAAGCAGGCAGAGACGCAAATAAAAAGCCCAATTCCATTCAAAATAGCCACACAAAAAATGAAATACCTCGGATCTTCCTAACCAGAGAAGTGAAAGACCTTTACAATGAGAACTACAAAACACTGCTCAAAGAAATACAAGCAGACACAAATAAATGGAAAAATATTCCATGCTCATGGATAGGAAGAATCAACATTGTTGAAATGTCCATCCTACCAAAGGCAATCTACAGATTCAACGCAATACCCACTAAATTACCAACATCATTCTTCTCAGACCTGGAAATGACAATACAGAAATTCATATGGAAACATAAAAAACCATGAATAACCAAAACAATCCTTAGCAAAATAAACAAAGCAGGAGGTATCACACTTCCAGACTTCAAACTTCACTATAAGGCTACTGTAATTAAAACAGCCTGGTATTGGTATAAGAACAGGCACACAGACCAATGGAACAGGATAGAGATTCCAGAAGCAAAGCCTTAATTCCTCAACCAATTCATCTTTGACAAAGCCTCCAACAACAACCACTGGGGAGAGAAGAACCTATTCAGTAAATGGTGCTGGGAAAATTGGCTGACCACATGCAGAAGATTGAAACAGGACCCCTACCTACCACCATAGACAAAAATTAACTCTAAATGGATCAAAGACCAAAACGTAAAACCTCAAACTATAAGAAAGTTAGAAAATGAAGGAGACAACCTTATGAAAATTGGAACTGGCAACCAATTCCTATTCAGAACCCTAAAGGCCAATACCTTAAGAAATAAGATAGACAAGTGTGGTCTCATCAAACTAACAAGCTTCTGCAAAGCAAAAGAAACCATCAAGAGAGCAGGGAGACAGTCCACAGAATAGGAAAAAATACTTGCCAACTGTATATCTGACAAAGTCCTAACATCTAGGATCTGCAAGGAACCCAAAAACACGCCAAAAGGAAAAAAACAAACAGCCCTTTTAAAAAGTGGACAAAAGACATGAATAGACACTTCTCAGAAGAAGATATATGGGCAGCCAACAGACACATGAAAAAGTGCTCAGCCTCACTCATCATCAGAGAAATTCAAAGCACAACCACAGTTAGACACCACCTAACCGCAGTAAGAATGGCCATCATTAATAAAACAAACAACAATAGACACTGGCGAGGATGTGGAGAAAAAGGAACGCTTTGACACTGCTGGTGGGAATTCAAACTAGCACAACCTCTCTGGAAGACACTGTGGCAATTTCCGAAAGAACTAGAAATTAACCTTCCATATAATCCAGCAATTCCCCTATAGGGAATATACCCAGAGGAACTCAAATCATTCTACAAAAAAAGATACCTGCACACATACGCTTGTGGCAGTTCTATTCACAATAGCAAAAACATGGAACCAACCATGTTGCCCATCAACGCTGGGCTGGTAAATAAAATGTGGTACATATATACAATGGAATATAATGCAGCCATAAAGAAAGACAAATATATGGACTTCACAGTAACTTGTATGGATTTGGAGTCGATCTTACTCAGTGATCTATCACAGAAACAGAGTACCATATGTTCTCATTCATGAGTGGACCTTATAATATTATAAGAAAGCATTTGGCAGTAATGGAAAACTGCCAGGGGAGGGGGGTGGGTATGGCAGTTGAGGGAAACTGCAAGGGGAGGGAGGGGCATACCTCACCAACAAGGGTACCTGCATAATCAATGTTTATATACCTAACTCTGAATTGTACCCCAAATCTTTATAATAATTTTTTTTAATTTGTTAAATTAGCCCACAAGTTGTCTAGAAATTAACCACCAAGCATACAATAATTTTTCCAAGTGAAGAAAACTTTTTTTTTGACATGACTTTAATATATTGTATATTGCATATCACTGGTATGCCTGATTAAAGTGGACCACAATAAAGATTCTATACAGGCTTAAAAAACTGCAAGCCACTGAAATAATATCAATCAATAATCTCAGCAAACACTCAATTTCATGAATGTTACAGGTAACATTAGTCTTAATTAGTCTTAATTCTACCTTCACCCAATCCTGAATCATCTATCTAAACTGATGTAACAAATGCCATATAAACTACAAGTAATTTTCACTTGTACCAAGACAATAATTCTATAATGTGCCAACAGGTTTACCGATAAGGAATTTAATTTACTAATTCATTATCTTTTTTCATTTACTCACCACAAGTTTATTATTAGCCTATATGCCAGGCATTCTGCTAGATTTTATAGTTACTTTTTTTAAAAAATTGTTTTAATTTTTTAAAAATGTTTATTCTTGTAGAGACAGGGTCTCGTTGTGTTGCCCAGGTTGGTCCCAAAGCTCTAACTTTAAGCTATCCTCCCACCATGGCCTCCCAAAGTGCTGAGATTACAGGCATGATCCACCATACTTGGCAAAGAGTTAACATTTGGAAGAAATAGAGATGTGCTCTGCCATCACAGAGCTTACTATCTTGCAAAGGAAACAAACAAATCATTACTTCAATAATTCTAAGAAAAGGAGTAAACTCTACTACTAAACAGACTGCCATGAATGGTTATAATTTAATATAGTAATATTCCTGTTAATATAGTAGTATATTGGCCAGAAACAAACACCACCGCCTCTTTCTGTTGTTTGGACATTCTCCTTTAACATATAAGGATCTTATACAGAATGGACAACCAGAATTTGAACAGATAAAATTGATAGATTAATATGATGTAGGACAAGCAAAAATATTTAATCTTCATGGCATTATAAGCAACGTACAACTCCTAAAAGTATCATGCTCAAAATTTCTGCTTGTTGCTAAAAGCATATTTTCCCTCAGGGATCATAAATGTTGGCCAGATTTCCTTAGATTGGTAGTCAAGGTCTAAGCAGAGTCAAAGATGTCGTCAGAGTGAGACAGAGAGAGATATGTCCAATGTCACTCAGCTATTTAGTGGCAGAGCAGGATGCAGAAATCCAGTCTTCTAACTACAAGGTCACCACTCCTTTTCATGTCAGCCAACTTCACATGCCTTATTTAAAAATTAATTGTCAGTACAATTTAATTTTGACAACTGATAAAATCAGTTGAAGTATGGAAAATTATCAACTTTTAATTAATAATCAACTGTAAATGAAACTATAAACAAAACTACAATTTAACCCCGCAAGGTAGACCATTCTCTGTGATATGGTTAAAAGGCTTTGAAAAATTAAAATACATATTGCTATGCCTGTACTTCACTTAACTGTTCAATAAGTCAACTCACTGTAGAAGAAAAAAGTCAAATCAGTTTTTTACCACTAAAAGGTAAGAATCTTTCACTTTTCAATTATCTGACCTGCTGATAATCTTTCTCTTCTTTTTAAGAGCACAGAAATAACAAAAAACATTTAACTCATCAGTTTCTTGTTAGTTGAGTTTTTTTCCTTTTCTACAATGATAATTACATTATAATCCTTTTAGGTTTTACATTTTCTACGCAGTGTGAATAGAGAATCAAAAAAGTAGTTACTTTCATTTGACAGATACCTTTGTATATATCTTTCCCACATAAAAACCAAAATGAATGTGAGCCACAGATAACCTATACTTGAATCAACATGTATTTCTGAAATTAATTACATCCAGTATATGTAAAGATACAGATGTAACCCTTCATTCTAATGGTCCTGTGGCAATTTCTTAATTTTCTGATTTATCAAAATGGAAAAGAGGTTACTTTATAAAAATAGTTGGCCTTATATTAAAAATCTATAGTGTTACAACTTTTCCCATATTAAAATATTTACTAAAGTGTATGATACTTCATTAAAAAGCCATGTATATAAAGCTGTAGAATGATAAAGTATTAAAAATATTAAATAAAGAAAAAAACCACCTTATTGTTAATATTTCAGGATATTTTGTCTACACATATTTTTATAGTTTCCACAATTTTATATACTTTTCTCTTAACAGAATCACCTTTATATATATTTTCCCTCTGTAGATCTTCACAATTTACTAATCAAAAAAGCTAGACATTTCAGTGATTTTTTCACATTATAATAAACACATGTGAAAAGAGTGTAATGTTTATAGCCAAAAAATAGATCCCAATTTATAGCCTACTTCTAAAACTCTTAACTATGTGGTTTTGAGCAAATTACTTTGCTTCTCTGCTTCTCCTATTCTAAGGTTGTACAGTGGTTTCAATAAAAAAATATGCAAAAAGTCTAGCACAGTGCCTGATACATAATGCTTAGTAAGTTATGGTTATTACAAAAAACTTCCACATTCAAAATTATTTTCTTAGACTAGAGTTTCAGAAGAAAAATGATTCAATCAAAAACATGATTTTTAACTCTAGAAAAAGATCACGAAATTATTTTCCAGAAAGCTTATACTAATTGAGATCCCTGACAGCAGTGCGAGTCCTCCTGAGCAGCAAAATGTTAAAAGACAAACTTAAAAAATTAAGCTTAATAAAAAAGTCAATTACCTAAGTAAAATAAAACTTTAATATCATGTAACTATGTATCACTAATAAATTAAATTCAATGTGGACTTACCCGGCCTGAGGGGCTGCTATCCCTTTATGCGAGGGAGACAAAGTTGGAAGTTTGTTTCCCAAAGAACTGCTAACTGAAGACACTTTACCTGAAGGCACACCTTGTAATAAAAAATGTATTATTTTTAACAATTCTCTAAAAAAAAAATTACAAAAAACAGATCTACTGACAAAGAAAGCAATGCTTCAGTAATACTCTTTGTGGCTATAAATCAAAAGCTATCACTGAATTAAAAAAAAAAAACACGGTATTTCCATGGGACAACATAATAGCATTCTTCCATTTCTAATTTCTAAATTTCTTTCTTACAGTTTATACATAAGTAAAGGTACATTTCAGTGGTCACAATTTTCTTCAGATCATTAAATATTTGTCTATTAAGAATAATTGTCTAGTTCAGAAAGGTATGAATTGCTAAGGAAAAATGAGGGGAAAATAGTGTGGTCAAAGAATCAAGAAAATTACTTGGTGGACTATAGCAAACAGATGATACATCTGTAACAACACCAAGGGCAAACATCTAAGCTAAAAAAACCCAAAAGAATTACACAATATCTATAAAGTAGAAGCCACTGAAAGTTAATTAATTTCTACCCAGAAATAATTACTTATTATCCACATTTTATCTTAATTATAAATATATTTTAATAATCCAGAACAAACCACTACTATACCATCATCCCAACATGGTTTTAAAACAAATCAAGTTATTTTATGGATCTCATTACCTACTACAGTTTTGCTCGCTCCACTTGGTTGTGGTAATCGTGAAGATGCTGATGGTGTGGTTCCAGGAGAATTTGACTTTTTAAGTGCAGGAGACTTATACTAAAATAATGAAAATAAAGTATTTTATGATCATCACTTTTTGATTATGGATTATAAACTAGTCATTCAAAAACTAACATTCCCTGGTTACAGAATTTCAGTTCTATAAGGTAAAAGTTACACAGACGGATGGTAACTATGGTTGCACAAAAATACCATGCTCTTAATACACTTTTAAGTGTACACTAAATTGCACATTTAAAATTGGTTAAGATGGCAAATTATATGTTATGTGTATTATACCATAGTTTTTAAAAAATTAAAAAGAAACAAGCTCTCATTCCTTTAAATGAACAGTCTTATTACTAGCTACTAAAGAAAGATAGATTAAAATGTGTCACCTCAGAGAGAGAATTTCCAAAATATACTCCCACTCAAAGCTGGTATACTAAAAGTTCAACTCAGATATACCACTACTAAAATAAACTAAGAGCAAATTTTCCCAGTTCACAAGTGAAAAAAAAAGGCATAACAGAAAAAATTTCCTGAAAGTTAAGATTTTAAACACTAAAAAAAATTAGTAGAAAAACTCAGAAATACCTAATGATGTTCGCTTGGTGGTACAATTTTAAAGATCAAAGTTTTACAAGTTCTTGGGTATGGTTTGATATTTCATATATATCAGGGGTTCCCAAACCCCAGGCCACAGATCGATAACAGTCTGTAACCTGCTAGGAACTGGGCTGCACAGCAGGAGGTGAGTGGGCAAGAGAGTAAAGCTTCATTTGTATTTACAGTTGCTCCCCATCATTTGTATTACCACGCGAGATCCACCTCCTTTCACATCAACATTGAAAAGCCTGCTTCCATTTCCAGCATCCTATCTTTGTGAAGCAGGGTTTTCTGCGGTGATAGCAATAAAAATGAGATTACAGAGTAGACTGGACATAAGCAACACACTTTGGGTACTACTGTCTCCCATCACTCTCAGATGGGACCATCTAGTAATAGGAAAACAAGCTTCCACTGATTCTACATTATAGTGAGTGATATAATTATTTCATTATATATTACAATGTGATAATAGAAATAAAGTGTAATAAATGTAATGCACCTGAATCATCCTGAAACCACCCCTGCCCCAACCTAGTGGAAAAACTGTCTTCCACAGAACAGGTCCCTGATGCTGAAAAGGTTGGTGACTACTGATATATATAATTCAGTCATATTTCCTACTGATAAAAATTCATAAGATTACTTATTAATCTGGAAAAGTTTTATAATAGTTGCTTTATGAATTTCCCCAATGTGAAGAAAAAGAGCTAATTCTGGCTTCACTGTCCTCACCAGACCATGTTAGACGAATGGAATATAGGTTTATCATGAGATTAAGAATTTCAGTTTATTTTTTTTTTCTCTATTCTCTAGAGGAATATCACTATTAATTTTATTTTACTGTCTCTTTTTGAGCCAGAATTTGCTCAGTTCCCTGTAAGATTATCAATCACCTGCTCCTGTGGAAAGAAATGAACTTGCCCAGGTTCATGCACTATCTTATCACAGAGCAGCAATTTAAGAATCATGCTACCTTAGTATTAGCCCAGTGCTTCACCTAAAAGGTGACAATTGTGTGTGCATGTGTGTTTGGGATTTAGCCCAATATGGTATTCAGACTGCGTAGATTTTAAAAAATCAAATATTATTGTATAATGAATAATATAATTATTGTATAATGAATAACATTTAAGATGTACTAATACCAAAATAGCTGGCTAAAATCAGTTTTGAAGTAAAACATTGTAACCCTTCAAATTCAGTATGTGAGCTTTTAAAAAGTTAAATCTTGATAAAATACCACCAAAAAAAAAGAGGTGGTATGCACATTTTGCACTATTATGCCAGAAACTGAAATCTCTTAAGCACCAAACAAATAGAAAACAAAACCTTCAGTAAGTATCTTTCAAATGAACAGTAGACTTTGGGAGATGAGCAATAAAGAGGTGCTGTTTCATTAAAACTTTAGAAGTATTACTGGTTTAAAAAGGCATCAGGTTATTGACGGTCTCTCCCACTAAAAAACCAATGAAGGCATTAGAAGACCTTAAAATGATAGCAGCAGGAAAATAATATCTATCAAAGACTTATCAAAGTTTCAGAAGTATGTCTACAAAAAAGTAGATTCATAAAATTAGATTAGGAAACAGGACTAATGTAATGATCCACTCAAATGGTACCAACAATGAAAAAAGAGCTGAATGGTTCTCCTCTCCACAGTGGTCGGTGGTCAGGAGGCTTTGTCGAAGATGAGTTGGTTGAGAAATTGATGTTTTGCTTCTGGAATCTCTATCCTGATCTACTGGTCTATATTCCTGTTCTTTACCAGTATCAGGCTGTGTTAGTTATTGTAGCTTTATAATAAAGTATAAAGTCCAGGAGTGTGATACCTCCCGCTTTATTAATTTTTTTTTGCTGATGATTGTTTTGACTATAGATGGTGGTTTATGTTTCCACATGAATTCCTGTATTGTCCTTTCCAGGTTTGAGAAGAATGCTGCTGGTAATAAATGGGTATTGCATTAAATCTGTAGATTGCCTTGGGTAGGATGGACATCTTAACAATGTTGATTCTTACAATCCAGGTGCATGGAGTATTTTTCCACTTGTTTGTGTCATCTTTGATTTCTTTGAGCAGTGCTTTGTAGTTTTCATTGCAAAGGTCTTTCACGTCTCTGGTTAGGAAGATGTCAAGGTATTTCATTATTTATGTGGCTACTGTGAATGGGATTGTGCTTTTTATTTGGGTTTTCGTTTATTTATTGTTGGCGTATAGAAATGCAACTGTCTTTTGTACATTTATTTTTATATCCTGAGACTTTATCACTGGCTGACCACATGCAGAAGATTAAAACAAGACCCCTACCCATCACCATACACAAAAATCAACTCTAAATGGATCAAAGACCTAAATGCAAAACCTCAAACTATAAGAAACTTACAAAATGCAGGAGACACCCTTATGGAAATTGGAACTGGCAACCAATTCCCAATCAAAACCCCAAGTGTCCAGGACATAAGAGATAAGATAGACAAGTGGAACCTCAAACTGACAAGCTTCTGAAAAGCTAAAGAAACCATCGAGAGAGCAGGCAGACAACACACAGAACGGGAAAAAATATTTGCCAACTCTGTATCTGACAAAGGCCTAACATCTAGGATCTACAAGGAACTCAAACGTGCTGAAAAGAAAATACACAAACAGCCCCATTACAATGTGAGCAAAAGATATGAATAGACACTTCTCAAATGAAGACATACAAGCAACCAACAGATAAAAGAAAAAATGCTCAGCCTCACTAGTCATCAAAGAAATGCAAATTAAAACCACACTGAGATACCACCTAACTCTAGTCAGGATGGCCATCAACAATAACTCCAAAAACAACAGATACAGGAGAGGAGGTGCGGGGGAAAAGGGAACACTTCTACACTGTTGGTGTGAGTGTAAACTAGTACAACCTGTGTGGAAAAGTTTGGCGATTCCTAAAAGATCTAAAAATCAACCTTCCATACGACCCCACAATCCCCTACTGGGAATATACCCAGAGGAACTCACATCACTCTATGAAAAAGATACCTGCATACATATGTTTATTGCAGCAGTTATTGTTCACAATAGCAAAAACATGGAACCAATCTACTGCCCATTGAAAGAGGACTGGATAAAACAATGTGGTACATATAACATGATGGAATATTACATAGCTGTAAAGGACAAAATTATGAACTTCACAGCAACTTGGATGGACTTAGAGTCTATAATACTGAGTGATCTGGAAGGCTGAGGTGGAAGGATCGCCAGAGCCCAGCAGGTTGAGGCTGCAATGGCCACTCCCAGCCACTGCACTCCAGTCTGGGTGACATAGTGAGACTCCAACTCAAAAAAAAAACCACTGAGTGATCTATCACAAAAACAAAGAACTGAGTATCACATATTCTCACTCATAAGTGGACCTTGAACAATTATCATGATACTGTAAGAAAAGGATTGGTGGTAGGAATCTGCGGCGGGGAGGGTGAGGGTTTGGGGGGAGGGAGGCACACCTCATCAACCAGGGTATCTGCATAATGAACATTCGTATACCTAACCCTGAATTGTAACGAATATATTTAAAATTAAAAAAAAACAGGGCAAAACAAGGGGCATAAAAAGGAGTGCTGGTGTGGCCTATTATACACTGAGAGGTCGTCTTTAAGCACAGCTCAGATGGAAAGGGCCCTGGTAGCATTACATACTGAAGACTAAAGGTTTTTACATGCATAGTGGAAATTATTATTAATTTAATGACTTACAAATACTTAGGGAAAAGGCAGAATATTCCGTCAAAGATGCTCTGTCAATTTTACTGAATATTATCATAAGGTTTTCTGAAATACTCAGAACCTAGACTAACAGGACCTATATCTTATAATATTTCTCATTACTTTGAATAAGAACTATTCAGGTTAGTTTCCTTACTGAATGTCTCTTGTTTAAAACATATTCACCTTGCCCCTCAATATACTGCTGTTCCCCAACCTAGATAATCTGACTCTTTCCTTTCTGACCTGTCTCCTATCTATTCTACAATATCTAGCTGAAAGTCTACTAGTACTATAAAGATTTTCAGGATGATTCTATCAATTAACAATTCTGTATAAATCCATTAATGATCAGAAGAACAAAAACACTTTATTTTTATACAATTATATCCAATGCATATTTCTTTCATTCATTAAATTATTATTTGCTAGTTATTATTTTGTGTTTTTACACTGATCACAAAGCTAATGAGTTTCCTTAGTAAAATATTTTTACTTATAAAGATTATTTAATGAAATTGAAAAAATCTAAATAATATGTAGAACATTCACTTTTGACAAAATGGGAGAATAGACTATTGTATCATCCAATAACTAAAAACTGAAAATGCTCAGGAAAGCATATAAAAAAAAGAAATCATTGTAAAAGCAATAAATATCAAATAAGAAGAAAAGAAAATGTCAAGTCAAACCATGTGAGATTGTAATAATACCCTGGCCATCACGTGGATTTTTTTTGTATAAATCTACATTATTGTGCTGATCAGGCAAACTGAAGCCAATAATTTAATTTCAAATGTTTACAGACTTATTTAGATATCAAAAAGAAACAAGCACAAATATTCTCTGGAAGCAGATTATTATAAATAATTGTTTAAGGGTAACAAGCAGCGAAGGTAATAATAATCATGAGCATAAGGATATAAGGAACCATGAATGAGAAAAAAAAGAGAGAGCTAGCAGAAACATATCTATAAAGACCACTTGATACTATAATTATCAGACATATAAAAAAAAGAAATTAAAGGAAACTTTGAAAATATCAATAGGAAATTAGAAAATATAAAAAAAGGAAATTAGAAAAATAGCAAACTTCAAGATATTAAAAATAAAATAACAAATTCCAAACTCACGAGTAGAGGAGTAAAGTGGCTATATAACCTCTTACAAATATAATTATGATAAGAGAATTTTAATAAAAAGTGATTTTTAAGAGACTGGAAGCCATGGAAACCCACAATGTACTCTGGGTTCAACTGCATACTCAGAACTCCGTACCATCCAACAAAAAAATAAATAAATAAATAACACTTTACATAAAAACAAAATCAAGAATTGATGTATCATCTACCATTTACAGTTTTTGACCAAACATTCTAGCAAAGCAACAGGAAAGTATGAACTATATTCAGCAACAATAACAGTGAAAAGTAACTAACTGTAAGTGGGCATAAGTGTTAGATTTAGCAACTAAGGACAAAAAACAAAAAAAGACTGAACTATATGGATAGAACTGGAGAACACTATGCTAAGTGAAATAAGCCAGGCACAGAGAAAATACCAACTGGCCTCACTTATATGTGGAATCTAAATCAATGGAACTTAAAGAAGCAGAGGGCAGAATGGCAGTTACCAGTAGTTGGGGATGATGGTATGGTAGATGAGGTAAGAGAAGATGGTAGTCAAAGGGGTACAAAGCCTCAATTAGACAGGAAATATATATATATTTATGGCACACATTGCACAGCATGGTGAATACAGTAAATAATGTGCTGTATATTTCAAAATTGCCAAGATAATAAAATTATCTTGATTTAATGATTCCATGTGTGCTCATAAATCATAACATCACTTTGCACCCCATAAATATGCACAACTATAATCTGTCAATTTACAATTTAAATAAATAAATTAAGCAATAAGTACAACAATACACATAAAGCATACTGATGGGTTTACAACATCTACAGGGTCACATATTTAACAATAGCGCAAAGGATAGTGAGATAAAAGAAAATATCCACAGATAGGGAAAAGTCAGAGATGTATTTTGTTATTCCTAAGCAATCATTTTTAATAAATACAAAGCATTATATAAAGTCAATAAAATGTCTCTTATGAAGATAAAAAGGAAAAGAAGTAAGAAGAAGAAAAAAAAAACGACAAAAACAGAAAACAGATGACAGACCTAAACATAACCAAATCAATAATAAATGCAGCAAATGCAAATGCCAAGCACTTCAATGAACAGGATGAGGTTACCAGATTTGATTTACCAAAAAAAAGAGCCAATTATAGGATTTTACAAGTGATGCAAAAACAAATTTAAGTTACAGAACAGAAAGAAAATAAGTGAGCATAACTAAGCTGAAATGGCTATATTCTTAGCAGAAGAAACATAGTTCGACACAAGAAATATTGCCTCAGGCAAAAAGGGACACTTCAGTAATGATAAAAGGGTCAATAAATGGGGAAGACATAACAAATTATAAATGTTAAAACAAATAAGAGAAATTCAAAATTTTGAAGCAAAAGCTGGCAAAACTAACAAAAAATGTAAAATAAAAATCATAGTTTTAAGACATTTCCCTCAATAATTGATGGAATATCTGAACAAAAAGTAAGGACACAGAAGATCTAAAAAAAATGGCATCAACTACTTTAACCAAGAGACATTTATAAAACTCAACACCCAAGAATTACAGAACACACTTTTTCAAAATGTCATCTGTTTCTTTGAAAAGATGTAATAAAAAATGATAAATTTCTAGCTAGACTGATCAAGAAAAAACAAACTGATTAGAGAAAAAAAAAGAAAAGAAAAAATATCAGTACTAGCAATGAAAAAGGAGATACTACTGCAAATTATAGAGGCATTAAAGGATAATAAATACCCTTAGGTCAATAAATTTAGCTGAAAGAGACAAATTACTTGAAAAATGAAATTGCCAAAACTGACACCAAGAAGGAATAGAAAATTTTTCTATTTATCAAAATATTGACATAGAAGCTAAAAACCTCAGAAAAGGTACACAGCTGACTTCAATGACGAATTCTAGCAAACATATAAAAAAAAGTATTAATACCAATACTACAAAAACTCTGAGAAAATAGAGGAGAAAATAACTCAAAACCATTATTAAGTCAATATTATCCTGACACCAAAACCAGTCAACCAAACCAATATCACTCATGACCACAGATGCAAAAATTCTTAACAAATGTTAGCATAGCAAATTCAACAAACATATATAAGGGCAACAACAATTCACAACTAAATGGAATTTACTAGTGAAACACAAAAATTGTTTTGACATCTGAAATCAGTGCAATCTATCATATTAACAGAATAAAAGAGCAAAATCATATCATCATTTCAACAATAAAAATAAGCATCTAATAAAATTTAGAACCCATTAATGGTTTTAAAAATCTCTCAGAAAATAGAACTTAGTCTGACAAAAACATAGATTAAAAACCCACATGCGATGGTGAAAAATTGAATTTTTTTCACCTAAAAACAGAAACAAGGCAAAGATATCCACTCTCATCACTTTTATTAAACATTAGTGTGAAAATTCTAGCCAGTGCAATAATTCACAATAAAGAAATAAAAGCAAAAAAAGTTGAAAAAAAGAAAATAAAACTGTCCTTATTTATAGGAGACATGACCATCACATAGAAAAATCCTAAGAAATCTATGAGAAAACTATTACAGTTAACAAGTAAATACAGGATACAAGATTGATGCATTAAAAACTCACAATATCTAAAAAACAAGTAATAAACAATTGAAAATTGAAAATGAAATAAAATATAATTCCATTTATAAGAACATGCAAATACATGATATGCCTAAAAATTTAACAAAATATTTGCATAAAGTATATATTAAAAACTACAAAACTGTTAAATTAAAGAACACCCAAATTAGCAGAAACATAAAACAAGTTCATGAACTGGGCAATTCAGTGTCAATTCTCCCCAAATTGATTTATAAATTCAATTTCAAACACATTTTTGCAGTCATTTTTGTAGAAGTTGGCACCCCAATTATAAAATGTATATAAACCTAGACTAATTAAAACAATTTTAAAAAGAAATTCAAGCAGGAAAATTTAGACTACCTGATTTTAAGACTTATCAAAATCAGTGTATAGTGATAGTATGGTATTGATTAAAGGACAAACATATAAATCAATGGAATAAAACAGTATGTCCTGAATTAAACCCACAAATATATATTCAACCGATTTTTCACCAAGATGCCTAGGCAATTCATTGGAGGAAAGAAAAGACTTTTAAACAGATGGTGCTTAAACAAAAGAATAACCAAACAGAAAAAAATTAATAATTGTCCCTTACTTCACACCATACACAAACATTAGCTTGAAATGATTCATAGATATGAATATAATAGCTAAAATTATAAAACTTCTAGAAGATATCAGAATAAAATCTTTGCAACCTCAGTATAGGCAAAGATTTCTTTGATACAACAGAAAAAGCATAAATCAAAAGAAACTGATAAACTGGACTTAAATCAAGTTTTAAAACTTTCACTCTTCAAAAGATACCCTTAACAAAATGAAAAAGCCAAGTAGCAGAATGGGACAAAATATTCTTAATAAATATAAATATCTGAGAAGAGACAAAGAATATATAAAAGCTCTTTCACTCAATAATAATGTAAAAAAAAAGTGTGTGTGTGTGTGTGTGTGTGTGTGTGTGTGTGTGTGTGTGTGTGTGTGTGTATAAACAGGTGAGAAACTATAGTTTAATGTCCTGTAAAGCATAAACAGAAAACTATAAATCTGAATCATCTTCTTATTTAGAGATGACTAAAATTGTGTATATTACCTGTGTCCGAGAAGTTGGTTTTCCTTTGGTATCGGTAGAAAATTTGCCTTTATTACTAATACGTGCAGCCTGTTCTTTACAGAAATTTATATGTCTATCAGCTGCATTTTCATTGAATCTCCTCTGGCAATATGGACACTGGATATAATCTAAAACAGATAAAAACAGAAACCGATTAATAACACTTGCAAAGGACATTAAAAAATTGTAATTTTTTATGAATAGTCATTCAAGATATACACATAATAATGACTGATAAGCAAAAACTCTCATTTCTTTAATCGGCCATCCTGACTTGTCTGAACAGTAAGTAAAGACTTGAAAAAAAAAATCTGCTAGTACATGATAAATTCCAATTTTCCTCTAGCTTTGAATCAAATTTGAGTAGAAGAAAAAAAGGAGAACAAAAGATGAATCCCCCAGTGAAAAATAAGTAGAGGAAAAATGTTATTTCTTTTTTTTTTCTCTAAAATATCTTTATATGGTAGGCTAGTTAAGCAGCAATAATACACAGCACTAAAATACTTTTAAAAATATGGGTTCATCTATTGAAATCTTTTATTTCATCTAATTGAAAACTGTCAAAAAATAGTGTACTCATCTTTAAACAGTGTTATTTTCTTTTAGAGGTCCCAACAGATGGAAGAAGTGATAAAAATATACCTCACTAACATAATTAATTCAAATTTAAGAAACAGCAAATGTTCCCAAGACATCCACCCCAAATGCAAAGTACAGTATAAATTAAACTTCTTTAAAAATTTTCCCAGAACCAAATTTTGTAGCATTGTAAAATATCTCAACTAAATGAGACACTGGGAATAAATGTAAAAATATAGTAGTGTCAAAAAAAAAATCTTACAAAAGGTTTACTCTTGATATGGAATTTATCCTTCAGAATTTACATTCATCCAAAGTTCAGAAATGCATCCTACTTACTAATGGAGTAGATATAAAACCTCTAGTAAAAAGCAGCAAGTTGTTTTTGTCAGGTCTGAGACTGAAAAATGTTTTAAAGCCCAAATTATCCTGAAGAACTGGTATCCCCCAACCCCCTGCTCATGTTAGACAGAAGAAATAAATGTACTACATAGAGATATCAATGCAAGAGCAAAGCAAAGAAAGAAATCAAGTTCATAAGGAAAATATAAGTAGATTAGAAGAGACCCAATATCAGTTGTAGCATCCCTGAAACATTCAGAGTTAAAATTACTAATACACTAGAACAAAGTTTAGCAAACTATGGCCCATGAGCTAAACCAAATCCAGCCTGTTGCTTGTTTTTTGTAAATGAAGTTTTATGGAAACACAGACATGCCCATTCACATTTATATATCGTCTATGGGTTATCTGCTGCAACAATGACAAAGCTGAGTAGTTGCAACAGAGACCTAATGGCTTACAAAGCCTAAGACATTTACTATCTGGCCTTTATAGAAATACAAGGGGAGGATTCACCCAAAAAAACTGGAATTATCTTTGGAGGGTGGGCACGTATACTGGGGAAGACCCAAAAAATACCAGAATTATCTTTTGGAAGGCAAGTCTTTGTATTACAGGCATTCCCTGCTAGATAAGTGTTCTAGGAACCCTCTGGCATCAGTGTACCAGCTGATGTTGTGAGAGGCTGTGCTTGGCTTTGGTGAATTTCTTTTGGATATTCTCTCAATGCATTCGCCAATTTCATGATGGATGATTTACAAGGCACTTGCCCACACTGTGCTGAGTGTTCTTCAGTTTTTGACCAAATACAGCATGACCCCTGTGTCCCACCCTCCCTATTCACCCAATCTCTCCTAGAGTGACTTTGTTTCCCTGTATGAAAAAGTCCTCAAAAGGAAAATGTTTTGCTGACATGAAAGAGGTGAAGCAAAAAATGGCAGAAGCACTAAAAAGCATCAAAATTGACAAGTTCAAAAACCATTTTGAGCAGTGGAAAAAGCATCTTGAGAGGTGTATTGCATCAGAGAGTACTTTGAAAGTGACTGAAGTTTAAATATGTAAAAATAAATACACAATAATAAACTCTGTTTTTTGGGGTCCCACCCCCTTGTAGTTTTCCAGCTTCTCCTCTACAATAAAATGTTAAAAATGATCACATCTAGATTTGCTAAAGTACTTTAGCTTTCTCTTTGTTAGGAAATAAAACTCAATCTAAAGCACTAACATAATTTTAATGTGGCTAACTTACTATATTAACAACCCCTTTAAGTCTTTCAGTATCTCATGTAAGGTTGCCAGAGTCTTACATTTTTTGGTAGTAACGGACCAAGTAATTTTTTATCTGCCAAATGAAGAAAATTTAATACCACATGAACTTAAGACATAATTTAGGTCTACCAGTCTATATTGTAGCCTAGCCACATGAATTATATATTTTAGAAATATTATGATGCCTTGTTTTTCTTCACAGATGAAAAGATACTAAAGAATCAGGCAACATAATTATATGGATCCTACCGAATGACTTCATTTCAATCCACAGTGAGCATGGTTAAACTCTTTCCTAGAATATTAGCACTTAATAATTACTAAAATAATTTTAAAATATTATAATGCTTTATGCTTAAACATAAAAGTATTGAAAGAAAGGATAGCCCACTTCTCTATATTCTATATTAATATGCCTTTATAAGCCTAGATCCCTATATTATAACCACTGTTTATAATCTAGCTGGCACGCTGATGCCAGAGGGTTCGTAGAACACTTATCTAGCAGGGAATGCCTGTAATACAAAGACTTGCCTTCCAAAAGATAATTCCAGGTTTTTGGGGGTCTTCCCCAGTATACATGCCTACCCTCCAAAGATAATCCCAGTTTTTTTGGGTGAATCCTCCCTTGTATTTCTATAAAGGCCAGATAGTAAATGTCTTAGGATTTGTAAGCCATTAGGTCTCTGTTGCAAATACTCACCTTTGTCATTGTTGCAGCAAATAACCCATAGACAATATATAATATAGCAAAGTATTCAAAGATTATGCTTCATCATTTCAATTATAACTTAAGCTTAATAAAAAGCTAAAATCATAAAAACTCTATCATTATTTTCTCTCCACATGAACATTTCTGTCAACAATATTCCATATACCAGGGTCATAAGAAGGTGGAGGAGGAGGAGGAAGTTTGCCACCCTCTTTAAGTGCCTGATCAAGGCCTTTGGCTGCTCTTATGGTAGCAATGAATTCTTCATGTTTTCTTCTCCAATTAGATGGTTTCTTTGGTGGTTCTGGCTATGAATAAATAAAAAAACAGTATCAAAACTTTAGTAAAATGAAATAAAATTTCAGTTAATGCCATATTTTTTAAATGTACTCTTATCAGGAGTCCTCAAATGATCTTCTCATATTTACTAAATTAAAGAGAAACTTTATGTAACTACATAGTGTTGTATGCAATTTTTTATTCAATTCTCATCGTGATAGACACTGTTAAATTGCCTTCATTGTTACATGTATTTATGCTCCCACTAAGACTCTTGCTGTGGTTTGAATATCACCTTCAAAATTTGTGTTAATTGCCATTATAACACTATTAAAAGGTGGGGACAATTAAGAGGTGATTAGGTCACGAGGGCTCTGCCCTTACAAGTGGATTAATGCCATTATCCCAGGAGTAAGTTCATTATTGTGGAAGTGGGTTCCTAATAAAAAGATAATTTTGGCACCCATTTTCTGTCACACAAGCATGCTCGTCCTACCACCAAGGGATGATGCAGCAAGAAGGCCCTCACCAGATGCCAGCGCCATGTTCTTGGCGTCCCAGCCTTCAGAACTGTTCAAAATAAAAATCTTTTCTTTATAAATTACCCAGTTTGTTACAGCAGCAGAAAACAGACTAAAATAAGTGTATTTCTTGTTTTTCCATAGACTCAACAGAGTGTGTTATCAAACCCTTAAGTTTTGAACCGATTAAAGAGTAGTTCTCTCTGAATTTACCTGAATTTTCTCTTATACTTGGTGAACTGAACATCTTTTCATATTGTTAAAAACCATTTGCATTGCCTTTTCTGTGAGCTGTTTATATTCCTGGTTTGTTGGGTTACTGATCTTTTTTGTAACAATTTCTTTGTTGGGTTACTGATCTTTTTTGTAACAATTTCTAGTAACTCTTTATGGGAGACTATCTCCTCCCTCTCACCAATAATTTAGCTGTCTTTTGACCTTGTCAATGGGTCTTTTAATATGCAAAATTATTTCTAAAATACAGTTTAATTTACTGACATTTTCTTTTATGGCCTCAGGATTTTCAGTCACAGTTAGCAGTCCCAATCTCACACCAAGGAAAAGCGAAATTCTCCCATGTTTCCTTCTAGAACTTTCACAGCTTCATTTTAAAAGTTTTAAATCTTTAATTTATTTGGAATTTATCTTGGTGTATGACGTAACATATGGATTCAGCTTTATTTTTTGTTTATTTAACATGGTCATGCAATTATCCCAACATTCTTTGACTTTTCCTCCCAAAGAACTGAAATAACATCTATATCATATACTAAATTCCCTTTTAGATTTGGGCCTATTTTTGTACTTTCTCTTCTGTTGCATTGGTCTGACTATCCTGTGTCAGTACCAGTTGAGACTTTACAATATTCAGGGGAACCCCAAAAACATGGAATTTATTTTTATTTGTGTATTTATCCCTACATGTTTAAACTTCAGTCACCTTCAAAGTACTCTCTGTTTGATGCAATATACCTATGAGAAGCCTTTTCCACTGCTCAAAACAGTTTTTGAACTCGGCTTCTGCTTTTTTTGTTTCACCTCTTTCACATGGGCAAAACGTTTTCCTTTGAGGACTTTTTTCATCCAGGAAAACAAACAAAAAAAAAAGTTGCTGGGTGTGAGATCAGGTGAATAGAGAGGGTAAGGTCCAAGAGTTATGCTAGACAAAAACTGCTAAACACTCAGCACGGTGTGGGCAGGTGTACTCATAAATCTCCCACCATGAAATAAGCAAACAAGTTGAAAGAATCTCCAAAAAAATTCACTGATGTCAAACACAGCCTCTCACAAGAATGCTAGCTGGTACACTGACACTGATGGGTTCCTAGAACAGTTACCTAGCAGGAGAAGCTTGTACTACAAGGGTCCTGTCCTCCACAAGATAATTCTGGTGTGTTTTTTTTTGGGGGGGGGTCTCATATTTTACTATCTGATAAAGTTTTAATTCCTATTTTATTTTGCTCTTTTTATCTTTTCCTGATTATTACATATAATTTTTCCATATGAACTTTAGAATTGACTTGTCTAATTTTTTAAAAATTAAATTTTACACTTATAAGCAACTTAGGAAACAAATCTTTATGTTGAATCTATACAAGAATATGAGATATGTTTCCATTTGAAGAAATGTCTCTTTCAGTATTTTCTAGATTATTTTTGTGGAAATTTTATCCCTTTATTATAAAGTGTACTCTTAAAAGTTTTGTATTTTGTACTGTTCGCTTACAAAGCGTCGTTTCCTCATTTTTACGCTTAAACAGGCTGTTTGCTGAATAAATAAAGCCAAGTAATTTCTTTAGAGTAACATTATACCACATTACTTCACTTTACTCTTCTTTTTTTTTTTTTGAGTGAGAGTCTCACTCTGTCACCCAGACTAGAGTGCAGTGGCCACTCCCGGCCACCGCAGCCTCGACCTGCTGGGCTCCAGCGATCCTTCCCCCTCATTGTAGTAATTTCTCAGTTGATCCTCTAGGGTTTTCCAGGTATATCACATTGTCTAAAGATGACAGTTCTACCTAGTTGTTTCAAATCTCTAGTTATCTAATTCCTTATTCTCACCTAACTACATCAGCTTGCAATTACTACTTTTGTTGCAGTTTAACTAAAAGATGAGCCGGGCTCGGTGGCTCAGCCTGTAAACCCATGCCTTTGAGAGGCTAAGGTGAGTGGATTGCCTGAGACCCGCCTAGGCAGCAAGACCTCATCTCTACAATAAATCATAAAATCAGCTGGGCGTGGTAGCACACGCCTGTAATTCCGGCTACTCGGAAGGCTGAGGCGGAAGGATCGTCAGAGCCCAGCAGGTCGAGGCTGCGGTGGCCGGGAGCGGCCACTGCACTCCAGTCTGGGTGACAGAGTGAGACTCCAACTCAAAAAAAAAAAAAAAAAAAAAAAAGATCCCCAGTGTTGTTCCACTAAACATGATGCTGATTCATGTGCTACAGAGATTTATTTTGTCATATTATTAAGATATCCAATTACTCCTATTATGGTTTTATTTCTTAAATGAAGAATACGTGTTGACTAAACAAAGTTAAAAGGCAATTCTTTAAAATCACTAATAAGGCAAGACTAAGCAAGAAAAAAGGACACAAATTATCAAGGAATGCAAAATACACAATACAGTTCTTAGAAACGTAAGAGACATAAGATATTATAAAGAAACTTTACGCCAATAAATTTGATAAGATGAAATGAGCAATTTCCTCAAAAAACACAAAATAGATATAAGAAACAGAAGAACACAATAGCATTATATTTATTTTTAAAAATAAATCTATTCCTTCTCACAAAGAAGCTTCCTGACTCAGCTGATTTAGGTTTCCCTGGTACTGCTGCTTTCAAAAAGTTTTGGGGAGAAGGAGAGGCCTGGGCAGCCTTCCAGATTACCCAAACCAGCAGCTCTCTTCCCTGCTGCAAGAAATACAGATTACTTCCTGCAAATAGGCTTCTCTGAGTGACTACATACCCCTGCCTCATCTGGCTCTTTAAAACAATACCAGTCTACAAAGTCTACTGCTGCCAGTCCTGCTACCCTCAAAAGGACATAGCCTTTTAGGGAAGGCCTCTAATATCCAAGAATTCAAAGAATTTTTACTAATTCTTTCTAAGGGCCTCTGCCCTTAGGCCCCCTCAATTCTCTGTTCCTTCTTTCACCATTTTCTTCCTCATGGCTAGTATCCAATTTCAACCCTGCTCACTCAAGCTCCTGGCTACCAGATTCCTTCAGCTTATCCCAGTTCCTGCCTTGGTGGTAGTAAACAAGAGATATATGCTCTCTGATAAGACTTCTCACTTTTAAGAAGAGGAGACCATTCGTCTTTAAGGTGGCAGCTTTTCAGCAACTCTCCGTACTTCCTCCTTCTCCTGAAATGATCCAGGTCATTTTTCCTGGATCTCCACTGCTTTGAGAAGCCCTTACATATATTTCGTAGTCCCTGAATTATGTCTACCCGCCTCTTTTCCAAAAATAGACTTTGCAGTTGTTTTGTCCCCAATCTGCTTGTGGAGTCTGTAGGACTCTCTTGATGCAGATAAATACATTGATAAGTATACTACAACATTTAAATCTTCTAAGTCACTGCTTCTTAAACCTTAATGTACATATGGCTCACCCAAAAATTTATTTAAAATGCAGATTCTAATGCAAAATGTCTGAGAGAGGACTGACCTGAGATTTTGCATTTCTTATAAGTTTCCAAATAGTGCTGATATTACTGCACTAGGGATCAGTTTAGATAGCAAGACAATAAACTACTTAATATAAAACAATGTTTTTACTTGGCTTTTTCTGGAAATTAATTTTTAAGTACTCAACTCCCCTTCCTAATAAAAGATAAACTACCATTCATCAAGATTACCATGGATAATTTTACATAATCCCCACAATAACTCCACATGATAAAACGGACTACTTTCATTTTAAAGGTTAACAGAAGCATAATTAAATTAGATAACTTACCCCAAATAACAAAGTATAAAGCAAAGCCAAGGTTAAGTCCAGTCTGATTCTTGAGCCAGGTTTTATATCCACCATATTATACCGCCTCTAAAGATCTGGCTGGTTTATCTACCTAAGCTAACTAAAATTAATATAATCATATATCAGGCAGAAAAACTTCAAATATTAGTTTATGCACCTTATTCAGACTTTACCATCCTTCCCTTAAATATTCACAGACTGAAATGCAAAGATGATAATCTAATTTTTCTATCATCAAATGATTTCACTAGTAAGATTAATTCCCCTATAGGAAAACGTTCTTACTGTACCACTGGAAGAAGTTACTACCATTAAAAGTAGGGTTGTGCTTCAAAAACCTATTCAATCAGGTACATAGCTTCATCCATTTCACTGAAATGACCCTTTACAATTATGCTGAACAAAGTAAGTAATTTCTTCTTAGCAATATACAGAGGGTCCTTCGCATCTGTGGGCTCTGCATCTGTAGATTCTGCAATCATTAATTCAACCAACCATAGATCAAAAATATTTGGAAAACATAATAAAAACAATAAAAAAATACAAATTAAAGAAACAACATAGCAACTATTTACATAGCATTTACACTGTATCGGGTATTATAGGTAATCTAAAAATAATTTAAATTATATGGGAGAATGGGCATTAGTTATAAGCAAATACCATGCCAATTCATATAAAGGATTTGAGCATCTACAGATTTTGATATCCAAGGGGGGTCCTGGAACAGATCCCCCAAAGATGACTGTAATACATGACAAGTATTAAGAAGAGATGATCACAAGAGGTTCATTGCTTTGGTTTCAAGAAAGAAAATAAGCTGACAATAGCTATGTGCGGATAACTGAACAACTAACTGTTTAAAAACTTTTCCCCAGAAGGCATAATATAGATTACAAATTATGGCAATCAATCAATCAAGATAGTATCTATTATGCTAAAATGTCTACATATAACAGCTCAACCTTATGTATATAGTGAGTATACTATTGGTAAGAGATAGTAATTCAAAACCTAAGCTATATCTAAAGTTCTTAACAATGACTTTAAAAGAACATGTGGCTGGGCTCGGTGGCTCAGCCAATAATCCCAGCACTTTGGGAGGCCGAGACAAGTGGATTGCCTGAGCTCGCGGGCTCGAGACCCACCAGGGCTACTTGGTGAGACCTCGTCTCTACAATAAATCAAAAACTAGCCAGGTGTGGTAGCGCATGCCTGTAGTTCCAGCTACTTGGAAGGCTGAGACAGAAGGATCACTGGAGCTCAGCAGGTCGAGGCTCCAGTGGCCAGGAGCAAGTCACTGCACTCCAGTCTGGGCGACACAGTGAGACTCCAACTCAAAAAAAAAAAAAGAACACGTGAGAGCAACTGGCTCTCTAATTCTACAAAAACCTCACTGTAATTGACAGATTGAGAGGACATCTTAGTCTTCCCCCATAGCAGAAATTTAAAATTTTATTTTTAAAAATTTTTATTTTACTTTATAAGCTTCTGATAATTTCTAAACTAAACACATAATTAATTCATAACTGTGTTTATTTTTTTAATCTTAGTATAACAAATAATTATAAAATTTTTAACACACATAACACCAAGGTTAATATTCTTCAAAAGGCTATATAGTTACCCTCGGTTTAAGAGGTTTTACTGTTGGAATATCAGTTCCTTCAGCTCTCTGTCTACTTGAATCAAAAGTCTTCCGTTTTTTAGTAGCAGTTTTCTGACAAATGGGTCCATGTTTTTTCTGTTAAGATGAAGCAATACAACATATCATTTTCTTTTCCATAGATGGGGAAATTACACAAACTTTACTTACATTGAGACAGTTTAAAAATCTGACACTAATAAGAAAAACTGAAGATAAAATAATAAATAAGATACATCTTCACCAAAATTAAGTTTTAGAATATACATATAACACGTGATAGTTTATCTTTCTCACTACAAAAAATTATAAAGATATATCTCCAAAATTGTATTAAGAGTTATTTAAAATTCTCCTAGTTTCCACATTGTTAATAAGAAAATAATGCAACCAAGTCAATTAGATACTAGAAAAGGAAAGTAAATGGAGAAGAATGTATTCATATTATAATGAGAAAAGTTAACAAAATAGTAGTAGTTTGCACTATTAAAGTTAACATAATAGTAGTATGCTAAAATTAACACAGAATAAGACAAAGTGGTCAGATTTATGTCCTTCCCCCACAATGATTCCTTACCTTCCTTCTGGAACTCAAACTTTCTACCTTTCTTCACCTATGATTTTTCTCGACCTATCTAGCGTTCCACTTCTACAGGTCTGGTATTAGCCACCAATTCATTCATTCATTTATTCATTGTAAAGACATTACCATGGCAGCTCTCTTAAATCTCTGGTTCTCTTAACTGACCTCTAGTTAACCAATTGACTAGCTGGACAAATATACTTTCTCCATTATGTTAAGCATGTTGACTGATGACATCAGTACACTAAATGTACATTTTTTTTCTATTGTATTTTGAAAGATACTGAAGAAGCTAAAATTGATAAACTTCATCTGGGAAAAAATAATCTCAAAACTGGTTTATTTGGTATCATGAGTCTCCAATGCTTTCAGTACACAATTGGTAACGAACTGTTTTATACATTTTCAGTTTCATTTCAACAAAACAGCATTGTAATTTTAACTATTAGAATAAAATCCCTTAAGCATAAAAAAAAAAAAAAAAATTAAAAGAAACTAGCAGGCTTTTTCTAGTGAACCCATGGATATATGTTCCCATAAATTGAATTGTATATGTCAAGTTATATGGTGCTTATTTCCAAACATAATTATTCAAGTTGTAGTTATTATAGTGATAACATCATTAAATCAGATACTACATAAATGAGAGCCAAAAAAAGTATTTTTTGCCTGTGAAACCCAACTGAATGCTTTGAAAAATAATAAATTGATAAAAATAATCAAGGGATATACAGGCAAGATGTTTTTAAAGGCTTACAAAAAAAGTCATTATTTAAAAGGTGTCTGCAGAAGGACACTTTAGATCATAATTCCTCACTCTGTTTTAAAGAAACACACTGGAAATATTAAAAGTATGCACAGCAAATGGTAAGAGGATTGTGGTAGAACTCTAATCAGAGGATTCATATTCAAAGAAAAGGTCTTTATCCTATATCAAAGTATCGATAAATGTATATTTATGTTTGAAGTTAAAATACTTAAAGTACATAAGCATGATTTTTATCATTCCCTACTTAATTGGCTAATTTTTATTATGATCAGTTAAAAGTGCTTATATTTGTGTATACTAAGAATCTAAAAGTAACCAGAGTGCATAATATGTTTTATGAGCACTTTTACATTGCAAAATACTTTTTCTTTGAAATATTTCAAGCATACATAAGATTTGAAAGAACAGTATAATTACCTACAATTTATTTATCACTCAGCTCCAACAATTACCAACATTTCAGCAATTCATCTATCCCAGCTTTTTTCCTAAAGTACTGTAAAGCAAATTCCAGAGATTATATCATGTTTTACCTATAAATACATCATTAGTTATTTCTAAGAGGTACCTTGTTTTGAGTAATAATCCCACAAAACTAGGAACAATTTACAGGTTTAATAGAAGAGTTCTGGAGATCAACCAAATTTTGAAGGAAAGAGCATTTTTGAAGAATAACAGCTGGAACCAGACTCTTGAACAAAGAGTACTACTTGGTAACTCTTAAAAAATTATTCCATGTAAGTTCTTCCTATGAGAGCTGACCTGAAGTATTGAACAATTACAGATTTATTAAACTCCAAATGAAAAAGGTACAAAATCGGTTTACTCACTAATGCTACTGGAAAGAATGTTCTTCCACAAATCTTGCAAGGTAACAATTCTCCAACTTGAACACTTCCATTTTCTAAAACAGAAAAGAATTCAAAAATAATTTCTACAACTCAAATTGTGAAACTTTTCTTAATTTCATAACTGTCAATTATTGTAAAAATGTTTTATTTTGTTTTGAAACATGCAACATTATTAATTAAAATGGGCACAAGACTTAGAATTATTAATTGTCAAAAAGGTCAGTATAAGTAGAAAAGAATCATGATTGAAAAATACCTAAACTGACATTGTTGCACACACATAGTTTTCTTGTAATTATTTTAACCAAATCAAGGTCACAGGCTATCTCTATGGTAAATTACTAAACTTTAAAAACCAAATTTATCTTATTAATCTCCAAGGCATAAAGAAGTACCATTGGTGATCAGTTAAATGACTTTCTAAGACAATCTGAGGAGTCTACAATAAAAAGAATCTTATTTTGTTTATCATCAGGCAATAGAAAGTATTAAGGATAAGATCACCTAGTTATGCATACTCCATGTATTATGTGAATTGTTCATCATTTTATAAATATATTCATATTAAGATTCACTGGACCAGTAAATTGAAGTATTCTGACTTCACAGGGCCAAGACATTACAGTAGAAAAAGCACTGGAATTTGTCATATACTATCTAGTATCAAGTCCCAGCTCTGTCACTGAGAACTATGAGTCCCTTGCAAGATATTTAACCTCTCTAAGATTCAGATTCCTCTGTTATAAAATAAGGAAGTCAAGTTAAATGATATGTATGGTCCCATTATAACCGTAGCATTCTATAATTTAACAAAATCTACTTCTTAAGGCCACATTAGCCAGAAAAGTATATGGACAACAAAACACCTTACTGATGTTGTGTTTTATTAAAGTTCACATATAAGAATGATTAAACCAATTATAGATGGTAGAATAAAAGATTCAGGTAGTAAGCATTATGTTGAAGGAATCACTTCCACTTGTCTACAAAGAGAACCGAGAATCTAAAAGAACCTACAGATAAGAACAAGATCCTCTATCCTTGTTGGAAAAAGTCTTTACAACACGAATTATGAGGAAATGTATGAGTAATCATATAAGTAGACTCAGTTTAACATCTGTTAAATTAGGATAATATCTATTCAATCTACCTTAAAATTTGACTCAATTAAGATGTTACATATAAAAATGCTCCACAACCGACAAAAATTAAAAACAAAATACTACTAAAGACATGCAGGCAAACACCACCAACCTCCTAAGTGGCAAAAACTATCAAATTTTATAGTTTATAAAAATACAATAGTAATATAATAATCAGGAGAGTGAATATTGTAACACAGAGCAAGCAGTACTCAAAGAAGCACTCAAACTAATGGGTAGAACCAAGTCAATAAAGTACTTCAGTAATCTAGAATTCTCAAAAAGCCAATCTCTCCTTACAAAATGTGTCCAGCATACACTGTTGATTCTGTTGAGTTGCTATATTTCACAACATCAAAACATGCACACGAATAAGACTTGAAATGGTATCTTTATATGACACTATTATGCAGGGAATATGAAAGAATATGATAGCCAGGCTCGGTGGCTCTGCCTGTAATCCCACGCCTTGGGAGGCTGAGGTAAGTGAACTGCCTGAGCCCACAGGTTCGAGACCCACCTAGGCAACTTGGTGAGACCTCATCTCTACAATAAATCAAAAAATTAGCCAGGTGTGGTAGCACACATCTGTAGTTCCAGCTACTTGGAAGGTCGAAGCGGAAGGACCACCAGAGCCCAGCAGGTCGAGGCTGCGGTGGCCAGGAGCGGCCACTGCCCTCGAGCGGCCACTGCCCTCGAGCGGCCACTGCCTTCCAGTCTGGGTGACAGAGTGAGACTCCAACTCAAAAAAAAAAAAAACAAGAAAGAATATGATGTTAAAAGTTGTGAAATTCTAAAATGTATAGAATTTACACTTAAGAAATAGGAAAAAACATTTTCGAAAGAAATCCTGGAAATTAAGCAGAGTTCTGGTCTGGGTGTTGTAGCATGTCTATCTCATCACTGCTAATCAGTCTTACATTCCATCACAGCTCATCTGAATCCAACCCTTAGCATTCAACAAACCTCTCTTTCAAAAGACACAACATCTGTTATATCACTTTCTTCTCACGATCCTTTCCAAAATCTAATTACTTTCAGATAAACAATCTCCTATCTTACAAGATTTTCCCTTTTCCAGTTCATCTAGGAAACTTCAACATTTCAACAATCACACTTACCCCTACCCAGCACACAACTTTCACCCTCCACTTTATTTACCTGCACTCTAGTTCAGCAAAACCACTGCTAACTAAAACAACCTGTGCACCTTTGGACTCTTAAAATATTCAAGCTCCCTCTAACAACAGACTCCTACCTCTCTCTAAGTCACTACCTTGATCTCTGAATGACTTATATTTGCTTAATAAGCTCATTCCTGGTTTCACTTCCCCTCCTATCCAGTATGAACATAACCAGTCATTTCCACTACAGTACTAAACAACCTCAAATCCCTCGCTCCATGGTCAAATGTTTGGAAAATGGTAATATTAACTAAGTTAATGGTTTTTCTTACAGCAGAATTTCCTCAGTCTTAAAAAAGAGTTAGTATGCTGTTATTCCCCCAGATTTATTTCATCAGGAATCCTTTTTCACCCAAGAGATATTTAGGACCAATGCCCGAAGTAGCACATTTTTTGAAACACTGGCATTTTCTACTTAGTCCCTCCCTACTTCTCATTCACTTACCACCTGAATTGCAGGGAAACCATTATATTAAAATAGATCTACTCATTGATTTGGTATTTGTTAAGTACCTAGCATGAGGTACTGTTCTAGGAGGTAAGAATATAGGGATAAAAAGGCAAAGACCCTGGTCTTACAGAGCTTCTATTGCTCTAATAGGGGAAAAAAATAAATAAAAACAAATATGGAAAAATGTCAGATGGTGATAAGCACAATGAAGAAAGGCACATCAGTTAAGGAGAGGTAAGATGGTCATAATGCAGACTTTAAGAAGTGTGTAGAATCAGGGAAAGTTCCTTTAATGAGGAAACATTAAGGACCTTACGAAATAGAGGCAACCAATCATCATTAATCTACTATATGCCATATTTTATATCGTATTTTGAATACTCATCCTATTCCTTTTCCAGTATGGGTCTTTTTACAGTATGCGGTACTGCAGATAATTACATTTCACCTTTATATTTTTTTCTCTCTTCCCACGCTTACTATGTTTTACCTATACTGGATCACTCTTATGCACTAACATGCTTTTTGTGATTTTTATCCATCCAACAAATATGTAATGAGAGGGCCTCCTATGTGCCAGTAACTGGGCTAAATGCTTTATATATACTAGATCATTTAACACTTAGTATAGTTAGTTCAGATACTTTGGTATTTATTACCTCCATTTTTTTTATAGCTGAGAAAAGTAAGGTCATACTAAGAAGACTTCCCAAATCATAGAGTTAAAAAGGAACAAAGCAAGAATTTAAACCCAAGACTCTCCAATACACTGGCTACAAAATATCTGGCATCATGAGCCATGATCATCAAGATCATGCCACTGCACTCCAGCCTGGGTGACAAAGTGAGACCCTGATTCAAAAATTAAAAATAAAAATAGACCAATGTAACAGGATAAAGATTCTCAAAGCAAAACCTCAATTTCTCAACCAACTCATCTTCAACAAAGCCTCCACTACCAACCACTGAGAAGAAGAGAAGCTGTTCAGTAAATGGTGCTGGGAAAACTGGCTGACCACATGCAGATTAAAACAAGACTCCTATCTATCACCATACACAAAAATCAACCCTAAATGGACCAAAAACCTCAACACAAAACCTCAAACTATAAGAACCTTAGAAAATGCAGGGGACAACCTTATGGAAATTGGAACTGGCAACCAATGTCTGATCAAAACCCCAAGTGCCCAGGTCATAAGAGATAAGATAGACAAGTGGAACCTCATCAAACTGAAAAGCTTCTGCAAAGCCAAAGAAACCATAAAGAGAGCAGAGAGACAGCACACAGACTGGGAAAAAATATTTGCCAACTGTATGTCTGACAAAGGCCTAATATCTAGGATCTACAAGGAACTCAAATGTGCTGAAAGGAAAAAAAAAAAACAGCCCTGTTACAAAGTGGGCAAAAGATATGAATAGACACTTCTCAAAAGAAGACATACAAGCAACCAAAAGATACATGAAAAAATGCTCAGCCTCACAAGTCATCAAAGAAATGCAAATTAAAACCACACTGAAATTACCACCTAACTCCAGTCAGGATGACCATCATCAGTAACTCAAAAAACAGATGGAGGAAAGGATGCAGGGAAATGTGAACACTTCTACACTGTTGGTGGGAGTGTAAACTATCACAACCTTTGTGGAAAACAGTTCAGCGATTCCTAAAAGTTCTAAAAATCGACCTTCCATATGACCCCGCAATCCCCTTACTGGGAATATACTCAGAGGAACTCAAATCACTCTATGAAAAAGATACCTGCACACATATGTTTACTGCAGCATTATTCACAACAGCAAAAACATGGAACCAACTGTGCTGCCCATTGAAAGAGGACTGGATTAAAAAAAAAAAATGGTACATACACACAATGGAATATCACACAGCCACAAAGAAAGAAAAAATTATGAACTTCACAACAACTTGGATGAACTTAGAGTCTATAATACTGAGTGATCGATCACAGAAACAAAGAACTGAGTATCACATATTCTCACTTACAAGTGGACCTTGAACAATTATCGTAATACTTTAAGAAAAGAATTGGCAGTAGAGGGAAACTGCAGGGGGGAGGCAAGATTGGCAGGGAGGAAAGGGCACACCTCATCATCAAGAGTACTTGCATAATGAACATTTGTATACCTAACCCTGAATTGTACCCCACATCTTTAAAATAAAGAAAATAATAATAAAGAATCAGAAGGAGTTTGCTCAATATGAAATAGGGACTCCTTAGGCCCCCAAGGAAAGTGTGGAACAAGGCTCATTTGCAGAAGAGGGAAGAACTGGGGGTAGGGAGAGATGGAGGAAGTATGAGTTTCAGAGAAAATGAGGTAGTGGACTTCATGCTGAGACCCGCAGTTCTGGATAAAAGGGAAGAGAGAAACATTGTCCAAGTCCAATGTTTGGGGAGGGGTAGGAAAAGCACTGGAGAGGCACTTACAGGAAAGGCCAGGGAGATTTAAACAAGAAACAAAAAAATTAAAAAGTAATTAAAAAATAAATAAATATGCCGGGCTCGGTGGCTCAGCCTGTAATCCCGCGCCTTTGGGAGGCTGAGGTGAATGGATTGCCTGAGCCCGCGGGTTCGAGACCCGCCTGGGCAGTGAGAACTCATCTCTACAATAAATCAAAAAATCAGCTGGGTGTGGTAGCGCATGCCTGTAATTCCGGATACTTGGAAGGCTGAGGTGGAATGATCACCGGAAGCCCAGCAGGTCAAGGCTGCGGTGGCTGGGAGTGGCCACTGCACTCCAGTCTGGGCAACAGAGTGAGACTCCAACTCGATAGATAGACAGACAGACAGATAGATAAATATCTGGCATCCAATTCAGTACCAAAAAATACAATTAATGCTAGATAAAGAAGCCTAACTGTTCAGTAAACTAGTACATTTATACTAGGAAAAAAAAGCAGGAACCATGATGGGACATAATAACTGTCTTCAACTAGATCAAATGCTACACTGGAGCAGGACAATCAGTCTTCTAATAAAATCTTAGAGGGTAAAAGTAAGTAATTTCAGCAGTCCATAAGAGAACGGATAGCCTGACTTTGCCACAATTGTTATAACCATTTATCAGGGTGTTAGGAAGGGAATGACAGTACCCATACTTAAGGATAAAATCTGCTTAGATTTTATCATCTCTTCATTTTACAATGAAAAAGCTTATAAGAGATTGGAACTCTTTCAAGTCTAGAACTACGATTGCCCTTAGATATATCTGTAGAGCAAATCTTTCCAGAGAAAAGGAATGAAAAGCTTTGCTCTAATTATCCACACAATGCAGAGGTGCTCAGATATAGATTACAGAAAAACATGAGCAACAAGTTATATCTGGTTACAAAATAGTGTTCTGCCTAATAGCTCATCTTTTGACAATCCACGGAGCATAAATGTCCTAGAAAACTAAAAATAATGTAAGTGGCATATAATCTACATGCAAATAATGTAAAAATTATAAGAAAAAGAGTATCTTCAATACAATTTTTAAAGAATTCATATATTTTCTGGTTTTAGAACCAAGACTAGTCTGGTAACTTGTTTCAAACAAAAGTCAAATGCTAAGAGTACAATATTTATTCAGTTACTCTGACACATTAAGTAAACTCTAAAGTTTCTTTTCTTTTCTTTTTTTTTTTTACTGGATACTACAATATAATATTTAAGGTTTAAAGTACTAGACTTTCTAACTTCCAATATAGGTAAGAAACTTTATTTTATCACAGTATCAATGTGTATGAAATGAAACATGGATGATTGAGTTAATGAATGGTAACCAGAAGATTCAAAGTGTGATCTATTACAAGACAGGAAGTGGAGGAGGAAGAGAGGAGAACGGCACTGTTCTAACTTCAACAGAAAACTCTCAGAGCTTTTATTAGGTTGAGCCACTTGAAATTACCAATATTCAACTGTTTGGGCCTACAAGGACAACTTCATGTGTTTCAACCTAATCCATTACAATTAAACACATCATAGTCAATGATAGTATCTTATTTTGTTAGAAAAAATAAAGAATAAAGAGCAAGTATGTTGAGACACACCCTGGGGCCCTAGCAAAGACTGCCTGGACTGGCGGTTAAGAGGCCGAGACATTAATGGAGAGTCCAGTCAGTATCACAATGGGTTTCCATTACATTTTAAACACATTCTTAGAAAGGTTTCAAAAGTAGTGTCTTAGCACTGCTAAAATGTAAGGTCCACTAAAATATAGGTTCAATGAGAGTAAGCAGGGCTTTATTTTCATTCTTCGCTGCATCCTCACAGCCTAGATTAATTCCCATCATAGTTGTCATTTACTTAACAACAAATATTTACTGAGTATCTGCTTTGTGTCAAACATTGTTTTAAGTAATTGCACAAGTGTAAAATCAGATGAGGATATCTGCCACATTAACAACTGTTGAATAAAATAATAAAAATCTGCAAACTCTTTGAAAGCACTTTATATGCAATAAAACCTATTACATATAATGATAACCTTATGAGAATTCCAGAACCTATGTACCTATCCACTATACTCTATAACATCACCACATATTTTTGAAACAAAATTAAAAAGTTGCCTCCAGGGAGTCCCCTAAACAAAAGTATCTTGAAAATAAAAAGTACTGTTCTATCAATACAGTTCCTTATTTCATGAAAACTTGAATTATCTTCCTAAAATAAAGTAAGCAAAGAACAAGAATGTCACAGGTCATAGCATACTGCACCTCTCCACAAATGGAAAATTATCAGAATTTTATCTATCATACTATGAGAGCTTTACCTCAGAGCAAAAGTATGAAATAAAATCATACTCATGCTATTCTCTTTGCTTTTTGATGAGCTTAGGTCACTGATAAAGTTATCAGTTACCACTTTTCACTTCATAACACAATCCACAATATTTTACTCTCTAGCATGAAACAATACACAGGACTCAATGCTTCTGCTCATTATTAATTCCACCTGAATCCATGTAAATTAGGAGGCTTAAAAAAAAAAGAGCTAAATCAAAACAACAGGATCTTTCAATTCTGAAGTCTTCAATTCAAATCTGAAATCTTCAATTGATCAGGATTAACCATAATTTGTTTTTAAATCTTGAAACTGTTGTTGTCAATACCAGTTGGATTTTTCTTCCTTTGTTTTTAGCCGAATGTTTTCATTACACCGGGCAAAATGGAAGAGAATAGAAAAAAAAAAAAAAAAGTGAAAGGATTGGGAACAAAGCAAAATCTGGAGTCATGGTTACAGCACAAGGATAAACCCAAAGATAAGGAGCCAATGCTGGCGCTTCCTTACACAGCAGTCGTGAATAAGCCATTAAATCCTTCTGGTAATCTATTGTGCCAGCTCTAAAGCTGGCCAGTAACACTTCCTTAGGAGATGCTCTGGCATCTCTCCGATAGAAGATGCTGCCGAAATGCAAAAAAAAAAAAAAAAACGGTTACCCGGGGAATTGGCCAAGCTTGAGACACACCCCGGGGCCCTAGCAAAGACTGGCTGGCCGGGCGGTTAAGAGGCCGAGACATTAATGGAGAGTCCAGTCGGCAAGGAAAACAAAATCTGGCCAGGGACTTTGATTACCAAAAAGACACTCTGGAGTCGGGCAAGATCAGAAAATGGTAGAAGAACGAGCAGGCGTGTGCCAGAGGCAGAATCAGGCTCCGGGTGGGGGAGCCCAGCCACAGACCGTCCAAGGAGGGGCAGCCTGGGGGTCGTTCGCTCCGCCGCGTCGGGGGCTGTCCTGCTCCCGCTGGCCCCGGCCTCCGGAGGCGCGATGGGGACGCGGCGGGGTCGGTCACTCCGCACCGGCCCTCGCTTCCACGGTATTGGTGTCCAGGGCACCCCACCTGCTCCGGGCCCGCTCTAGCCACCCAGCCCACACCCCTTCACCGCCTCACCTTCCAGTCCCTCCATTGCGCCACCGCCCAAGGCTCGGCGAGATTCCTCAGGCAAAGTCTGCCGCCGCCGCCCAGCTCTGGCTGTAGCAACCCGGCCGCACCTCCCACCCGCTAACATCCCGGTCCCCCATTGGTCCGGCTCAGAAGGGGCGGGGCTACGTGGAGGCGGAGCCGTGTCGAAGGCGTGGCTCCTGCAGTTCTCTGCAGGTCTCCTGCCCAGCTCGTAGCTCTGCCCGCACTCTCCAGGGAATCCTGAGCCGCTTCAGATTGCATTCTGCGACCCAGCAGCGCCATTGTTCTACTCCAGCCTTGTTTTCCCTCACGCCTAATTTTCCTATTTACAGTATTTCAACACCTCATGGGATCTCATCACCAGTCCTTCAGTCAGTCAATGCAAGTCTCGACCATCCCTCTTAGAGGCTTCTTTAAGCAAAGGAATAAACCAGACAAACGTCGTGCACACTTGGATGCAGCACTCTCGGTTCTCCGCTCTTTGGTCACACGACTTTCACCTGAGTGTATCACGTAGACGATATCTTCGCGCACATCTTCATAGACTTAAGATTTATTTTTTTCCCAAAAAGATCCTACTTTATATCTGGAATTGTCTAATCAAAATTGCTCTAAGCCCTTGAAAACAGTTCCCTTAGTGTGAAAGCTTGGGCCAAAAATTAGAAGGGAAACCCAGCCCTGGCTCTAGGCTTTATCATCATTGAACAAAAATAGTCTGCTGGCCTGGTAACTAATGAGGTAACATCAAAACTATGTTTTGATGGGAGTTTAAGTTGGAGAACTAACCTACATATGAAAGAATGAAGCCTGTTTCTGACAGAGTTGAAACCTCCTGGGGATAAAGGTAACTTCAAAACTAACTCATGCTATTTTAATGGTTTTCCTTAACAGTATAATACAGTTCTCCAGACTTAAATTTCTTTGAAAATTTGATTTACCAGTGATTAAAAAAAAAAAGCTGTATTATTTGTTGACACTAGCTGGCAAATTGTCAGTATTAATGCATTGTCCATAACAAGTCTTATACGTTATTTTCTTAATCCATTTAATTGAAGAGTTTTTACATCATATTGAACTTTATATACTATTAAAAGTGCATCCTACAACCAGTAACCTTTAGCAAGCAAGATTCCTCCTACTCTCCACCCAAAGGTATTGTTTAAACAAGTAAACACTGGAGAGGAACATCATCTCTTATCAGGAACTTGCTCTACATGTGCATTTGAGTGTGTTACAGTTCATCTCTTGCATGGAGTCACTTAAAGAACACCTCACCATTGCCTGAATCCCTCCTTCTACCCTTCCTCTGGTTCAACCCTGAGTCTTCAGCTTCCCTGAGGTCCTGGGCCTACTTGGACAGCTCACACCATACAGGCAACTTAAGTACCTTACCTAGAGTGTGGTAAGGCCTTTTTTCCTCCTTACTGTTGCTACAAGAAAGTTAGAAATTTAGTAGGGGTATGGGGGACCGCTAAAAGAGTATTAAGGAGGAAAAATATATATATAGAAGAAAATATAAAAAGTCATTCACTTTACAAATTACAAGTTCTTAAACTGAAGTCAAGGCAAATATTGAGTTGGCTGATCTATACCCTATTGGACATAAAATCTACAGTAATAACAAAAAGAATAATGATAACAATAGCAATAAAGAATAAATCATATTAGACATGTTTTAGATCTATTTCATATATTCACTTATTTAATCATCAAAACAATTCTACAAAGTAGATACCACAATTTTCATGTTACAAAATTAAAATCTTCATTTTCTAGATGTCTCAGATAATTAACTTTTGTCAATACTTGTATCCTTAGTGAATGGTAGAGCTTGGTCAAACTTTTGTCTGTCTAATTCTAAAGCCTATAATGATTTCATTGGACTCCTCACTTCCCTTCCTTGCCATGCCTTCTAGTGCCTCAGATGTAAACCCAAGCATTTTTATTGTGAATCTTAACATTTTTATATAACATGCTTGCTATCCTTCTCTACAGATATTGGGCCCTTAACACGTTTATGCTACAGCTACCCTGGCTTCTGCAGCTTTTCCTTGATACTGACCCCTCTGTCAAGAGGGCTTCTTATCTGCCTTTGTAAATTCCTTCCTCCTGCCTCCTACTTCCTGGCCTGAGATCTCTTAGTTCTTGGTGCTGTCTTCTGACTACTTCCTCTCTAGTCCATTTCTCTGATGCCTTCATTCAACCAATTGTTGTTGAGTACCTTCTATACTTCACGTCAGTTTTATTACTGGCCGGTTACTGAAATGAATGAAGCTCAGCTTCTTCTCTTATCTTCTTAAACACTTACCTCTACACATTGTTTTTTTACGTGCCATGTGATCTTGTGCTGATAATAACATTCATAGATCAGTAAGAATTAGAGATCTCCCCATCTCATCATACAAAAAGGAAAGCAGAGTTTCAGAGATATTTCTGACTTGGTCCAGATTTTTAAAAATAGTAAGTACTGAAATAGATATTGTACCCTTGTCTTATATAGTCATATCCATGATTCTTTCCACTAGGCATTATGTTCTCTTCAACCATCATTCCTTGGAGCTGTTCCACATCTATTTTACACCTCCCAAAAAGCTGAGCAAGCTACATACAGCTTCTTGTTTCAAAGCTCCAACCTTCTGTTGAATCACACACAAAGTCCACGTTTCCTTTCAGAAAGAACTTTTGGTACTCATTCAGATCATTTGCAGAACACAGCCAACTGAGATTCTGAATCTCAGTGAAACATAGCTCAGTTTATCAGCTCCACTATATAGGTCATTTCTTCCATTTCCACCAGAGGAATGACTTGCGATTTAGCATATAAAATTAATTCATGCATTCAGTAATTATAACAAAATGATAATTTTCATCAAAAACAAAAGAAACATACTTCCCTTAAAAGTGTTCTGGAGGAAACATGTTATGAGATAGCTTTTATTAATTTCATTTTTTAGATTGAAATTAAAACAAAAATTCTCTAAACATACAGGGGAGAAAACAGTAATTTTGTTCCTCGTGACCTGGGATAGTCAGAAAGCAAAGATAGGTAGGCTGTCAGAGGTAAATGTCTGTTGAGGGAAAGATGTCCTTGACAAGGAAACACCAAAAAAGAAGGAAGGGAGGGAGCCTTTAAAAAGAGAGGAACCTAAAGCAAACTTTAGCTCCTTCATTGTCTGGAAGGCTACTCCATTCACACTGTGATAGTAATTATTCAGTCTCTATTATTTCCACTTTCAAAACTAGTTTCCAGCTGCAAAAAGACAAGCTTTTTCAACCTCCGGTTATGATCCCTTCAATTCATTCCTTTGAAACACAATGCCAAATCTTAACTGAAATCAAATTATGTATTACGTTCCTCCCATGTACATAACACTGTTCTAGCCACAAGATGTTTTAAAGAAGTCTTTCTGATCTCTAAGAAGTTAACATCTAGTAAAGGAAGCCCTGGGCAAGACAGTACAAAGCAATAGAGGGTTATACATGTTTAAGTCTTAGATGTTATAGTACAGCTTATAAAAGCAACTGACTTTTGGAAGACATTTCATTAATGGAACAATTTAAAGATTTTATAGAAAAGAATAACTTAAACTGTGTCTTAAAGAGTGTTATTGGATAAGTAAAGATTACTGAGGATGTAGGGGCTATGGCATAAGCCTCCTTAAGAAAATGGTGAAAACCTGGCATGTTCTGGGGCAATGAAGAAACAAGGAGAGTATTTATATACTTTTTGGTTCATGTGTAGTTTCTGTTTACATTACAGAATAGTACAAGCATTGTACCTATTTAATTTATATATATTTGATTTTCAGGTGTGGAATGTCAAGTTAATAATACTCTCTAGCGCACATACCTCAACTGTTCGTGCAAAGGAATCTCTCTTTTTTTCCTTTTTATTATTTTCTCCTTTATCCTTCATTTTAACCCTATTTACCAGGCTGCTCTCTGTAGGCAACATTCTATTACAGATCTTTGGAAATGTGTGATTCTTTGAAATATGGTACTGTTTTGATATGAATCTGTTTTTAATTTACATAAGGATATTATACTATGACCTTTATTCTGTTTGTAGTTTTTACACTGTAATTAACTTTAGTTCTCAAATTTAATTTCAAATTTAATGTTAATTTTTTAACATTTATTCAGTGATTCACCTATGCGGCTTTGTGTAATACAATGATTCTGAATGTGGGGTAGTATTTTACTTTATGCATACACCACCTTTTACTTACCTAATCCTCTAGTGATGGGCACCCAGTTGCCTCTAACCTACTGCTACAATGAACATCTTTGTGCCTGTCCCCTTCTGAACCTGGGCTCAAGTTTCTCTGGGATGCATCCCTGGAATAGAAACTGGATCATATTCATTTCCACTAAGTATGCCTAGATTGCTATCAGTATACACTCCCACCAACAGTGCACAGAGTTCCCATCTTTCCATGTCTTGCTAACAGCTCACCTCTAATTTTTGTCAATCTCTTGAGAGTCAAGAGTTGCTCAACTCTTCATATACTTGCTAATTCAGATTTGACTTTCAATGAATTGCTTGGTTTTACTCACTTTTATATTGGATTCTTATCTTTTCCCTGTGGATTGGTAAACTTCTTATATATTCTAGATGTTAACCCCTTGCTAATTTTGGTTATTCAAAAAAAAGTTCCAATTTGCCAGATAATTGATAATTTTGTCTATGATGCCTTTAATTGAACAGAAGCTCTTAACTTTAATTCTATAAAATCTATTAACATATTTTCTATATGAATTTTTTAAATTAAAGTTCTCTTCACTTCTAGGCTATAAGAATAGTCACATATTTTTATTCATACTTTTTGTCTTTCCTAATTAGGTTTTTAATCAACTAGGAGTTCATTTTGTATATAATATGTTTTGAGAATCCAACTTTATTATTCTCTGTATAGTGAGTCAGTTTTTCCAAACTATCTCTACACAGAGAAAATAAATTCAGATATAGCATATTTACAAATAAGATGATATTATAAATAGCTTTGTTCCCATTTATATAAAACTCAGAAGAAATGAATATCTTTCTGGATAAAATTGTTAAAACTTGCGACAACAAGAAACTTGAATAGAATAAAAAGTGTT